AAGAGGATGATATAAAAAGCAGCGTCATAAAAAGAGGACTTGAGCAAGAAGACGACGACGAAGAAGAAGGAGTGCACACAATGTTCAACAAGTAGCTAATTGAGATGAGGAGAGCGAGGCAAGGGAAAATTTGCTCTGCTTTCAAAAACCTGCACCTTTTTTTGTCCCTCTCTCCTCTCTCTTTTCGCAGCATTCGCCTAATTAATTAAAAGGGGGCTTAATTCGGTGGATTTTTAATTAAAACTCTCGGCCGTAAAATTGAGGTGCCCAAGACCGCGCCGAAATATAAATTAATCAGGGAACGCGGTCCGCTCCCCCTGCGCACCTCATCTTCGAACATTCTGACAGTCAATGTTGAGAGATTAAAAACTTTGCTCTTAACTTTGTTAATCTCATTAAACATTTAGACACGCTCGCTTCTCCTCCCTCATTTCAAAAGTTGAGATTCATTTGCATTTTAAATGATATATTCAGTCTCTCAACACGTGCAAGTAATGTACAAAGTGCAGACATTCCGCATCTCGTAAAGAGTTTGTGAACTCTAACTTATCAAGATTTTTAGTAACTAATATTTTATTAGCTATAACTGTTTTAATTAATTATTGTCTCATTATGTGATAAAAAGGCTTTCAAACATTCAAATAGTAGAGTTTGCGTAAATTGCACATCTAGATTTTAAATGGAATATTTTGCAAGTGCAAGTTTAATAGACCAAAAATTGTGTTGGCATAATATTATGTAATGATGATAAAATTAAGGATGTCAATTTTTAAATCGTAATCTGACATGAAAATGAGCAATAAGCGTGAGTATTTGTTAATTAGAAAAAAAATATAATATTGCAAATAGGTCTTAAAAAGTATCGCAATTAGCTCACTCGTATGAAAATTATTATTATTTTTTTTTAATTTTTTAATTATATGAATCTCTTGGTGAACGGGATTGCGCCTTTTGTCAAGATTTATATAGTAATTTAAATTTAATTTTAAATCTTTTCTTCGAGCCCTTTTTTTAGATTTTTTTTTTTTAATATGCAGAGCGATCAGTGTTACAAAAAAAACTGATATTATAGAAACATTTTATTTTTGTTCAGCCCGTTTCTAGGAAAGAAAACCAACATGCCAAATGAGAATATTTACATGAAAAGGAATACGGCCGCAGTAATCAATAATATGCTTTAGATTTTTCAAATTCTAAAGAAAATAATTTCACACTCTAATGACCTAGGCAAGGTGATCCTGATTACTTTGAGAAATTATAACATTTAACCAACGTAAAATTGATCTATTTAATATTAGTAAATTGATAATGATGACTTATTTACACTTTCTCAGATTATTAAATTAATAAATGATACAAAATAATCGAGCGTGAAAGGAATCCAGGCGCCACCTAATTTAATTTTTGTCTGGCTGTTCAAGCTCAACACATTCGATGTTTTTCCAGCCGAATAATTTTTCAATTGCACATCTGCCGTAATTAAATTATGCATCGCTTGAGTGACGAGTCGCGATTTGCATGTTAAGCACTTTACAACTCTGGGCGGCCCATTGCAAAAACGAGCATCGATTTCAAAGGTTTATCTTGACTCAATACGCCTGCGGTTCGGCACTTTTATTCTTATATTGCGGCTAATTGGGTTGTATCTAGTCTAGACATCTGCCGTGCCAAAACTTCTTCTCGCTTAAAAACGCAGGGAGGATGCTCGGCGGCGGCGGCGGCAACAATAAATAATCGTAAATTTCGTACGCGCGCCGATTATCCCCTTTATACTGTCGGCGGGCGCCTCTGTTTATTATTTCGAAGGTGAAACTTTATTATCTCGTCGACGCCGCCGCCGCCGCACACGCATGCAAATTCTAATCAGGCGGGAATTGTTTGAAGTTTTGCGAGCATTTGCCCGATTTGCTCGTTCGGCAATTGGCCGTTCGCGTGGGCAGAATTAATTATTAACGCACAATAGCGTGGCCGCACCAGCAACAAAACGACGTGCCTCATTAATTAAGGATCATAATTGCCGCGGCCGCATTAAACCCCCCTCTCTCTCTCTATAGAGTGAGCGAGAATCAAACCAGTAATGACCATTGTGTGTGCGATCGCAGAAATAGCTGATTATCAACTTTTCAAATTTGCTTATTAAGCCCGAAATTTCGATTTATTGAAATTTGACGTTTTTCCGCATTTGAAACGAGTTGCCTTTGATCAGCAAATAATTAGTTTCAAATTGTGTTTATTAATGCATCACCGGGCATTCTCTGACCAAATACATCATCCATACATTCGATAAATAAATATTACAAGAGAGAAAAATACATAAAAAAATACAAAGACAGAAACACAAAATGAACAGTTCTAATTATATTGTAGCTATTCAGTTTGAATAATTTTACAAAATCTGTGACAAAAATTTTAATCCCTCTCTTATTATGTAGTTATCAATGGAGGAAAAGTAACATATTTAATTGGATATTGAGCCATGTAGCCAAAATAGTTAAATAGACTTCATCACATTTTTGTGTAGTTAAATTGCTTTTAAAGAGATATACAGAAAAGTTTTATGAATTCTTGATTGACATATACATATATGTTGGAGAATAATTAATTAAACAAATAAATAAAGCTGACGAAAAGAAAATAATTATTTGAATTACTGCAAGTCCAATATAGAGGATTCAAGTTTTAAATAAGTTGACGTAATTTTTTTGACAAAATAATGTGTCACTTTGTGTGAAGCAGAGGCTACTTTAATTAAATGGTACAGTAAAAAAATTATAAAAAAAAGTAAAAATACACCATACGTGAAAAATAGGCAAACCTTGATTAAATTATAGGAATCTTACAAACTAAAAATATAAAAAATATTAGAAAAAAAATAATAATAATTATAAAGTTACATTGCGCACCTATAAACAATAAAAAAGGGCACATGCTGACAATGCTGACGAGACAATTTTTTTGCTGGATTATTAATTAATTTTTTTTTTAAATGCTGTCATTTTCCCCTTTAAATATATTTTGGCTGATGTAATTGTGGCAAAAACAAGCTGCCCACAGAGTTTTCCGCAAAATTATCAGTGTGTTTATACACGAGTTGTGATAATCCACGAGGAAAGTTCGTGCCTCGCTCGTTTCATGCAAAAAAATTGTGTAAACCGATGACCTATAAGCCATCATAAACTGCGATTGAATTAATTTCTCAGCACACAGATTTCATTGTGGGAAAAAGTGCTTTCCGCGTATAGGACGTACAGAAGGTAAAAAGGGAAAAAAACATCTCAATAAAATACCAGGTAGGACACGCGGAATGAAAATTTGTTTCTGAGAGCGCGCTTTGCACGCAGCCATTTTTCCAGTTATTATACTTTCATTGCCAGCGTTGATTCCGCATGTAGGCAATTGAGTTTGTATTACGCGTGAAATATATACTAAATCTCTATTTTGTGGATGAAGCGGCCAGGAAAATGGCTCCGTTTAATTCCTGGAAAAAGCTGTCATCATGAAAACATGCGCGAGTCTAATTATTACTAATTCTCGCACATAAGGGACCTATGGAAACACGTGACCAGTCCATGGGTGTGTGTGGGCCCGATTAAAATCCAACTGCCCATTAATTATTTCGCCTCATATTGCATTTCGAATGGCTCGTACCTGCTCATGAGCGCAACTAGAGCGGAGCAATTACCCTCCCACCCTCATCGCTGGATATTAATTTGTAAATTTCCAGTTAGTCTATTGCTAAAATAATGATAGCTATGTTTATGCAATCATGAGACTGTGCAGTTAATTGATAATTAAGGCACTGTATTTAAAAGCACAGATATTCAGTTCAATTCTATTTTTTAACTTTATAGGCACAATTTAATTGAAAATTAAGAATAAAATATAAATTTCAACAACTGCCTGATATTTCAAAATTTACCATTAATAAATTGAGTATTTAATACAATTAAATTTCTGACTCATGCATTAAGTGCAATCTGATTATATATTTTATTGATCCGCGCTTAATAATTGGATCATAATTAGAGAGGAGGTTATTTTTTTTCTTTTTCTAAGTTCGTACCACACAGCTTAATTTTTCATCTAAAATGACTAAATATTACTTATTGATGCGTGCGTGAAGTGCGTATCACGCATTTGATGCGGTTTTTTTATGAGAACAGTTGTTGTGGCATTGTGTGCGTCTCGTGTTTAAAATTTAATCGGCACGCATCACGCCACAATTTGGCGAAAAGCGTTTGCATAAATAAATAATAACGGCGGAGGCGCATTACATATCCTATCTCTGCACAGATGGCTTTTGTAATGCATCTGTGCGCAGTTGCTTTGTTATTAAATAGAAATTATACAAGTCTCTTTCTAGTGATGTCGGACCGGCACGCCAAATTCAAAACTCGCCGCCCCAATTCCGAGAAAAGCGTCTCCGAAACAGGGAAAGCAGTTTTGTTTTACCCGCACGCTGCCGTAATGAGAAGAGGGCCGAAATAATATGCCCGGCCTAAAGTGTATTTACAAAACAAAGACACGCAGGTGGCCCTTTTTCCTTCTTGTTTGGCGCAAAATGTGAAAAAAAACTGCGGCTCTAATACTCGTTAAATAATTCATAAAATTCGGCTCGCGTTTTTTGTGTGTGCAAATTTCGGTGTCACTGAACTTGCTGAGAAATTCTTCCAGTTGCTGCTCTCAGCTTTACACTTTTGCGGGAGCTGCAATTTCTTACACTTTTTGCTGATTCAGAGAGGAGCGACAGGTGAACGCAAAATTTAATTGTGCGTACGTGAGATAATTATTTAATGGTTCAAATTGTTTTATTAATGCCTTACAAAAACATACAAGGAGTCGATTATTTATGTACAATGCTGAAAATACACAAAAATATACATATTTTTCATTATATAATAAGGAAAAAAAAATTCTAATAATTTTTTTCTTGCCAATGTCGTCAATATTTTGTGGTGCCATGAGAGGTTATCTGTTGACGTCGTACTCAGTATTATGCCAACATTATATAAACTCCTCAATTGGGTATGTGTGAATTCAGTTGCTAAGGACACGCATAGCGAACGGCAAAATATGAAGTCCACTGGGGCCAAACTGGCCATTCTTTGCTTCGGCATAGCAAGTCTCTTCTCCAAAAATGGAGGCACTGCCGCTGCAAATGTAAGAATTTATTATATTATAATTAATCTAATTTATTGCCCAATTTAGAATTTCAAACAGATCTCATAATTGCTTTATGAAGCGTTCCATTAATAATCATTTCGAGAAAACAATGAGGTCAATGAGCTTATCCTCTCTATGTTTATTTTTTACAAATCATGAAATAAAACAATATCATTTTTTAGTTGTATTTACTTTAATAATAAAAAAATTGTCTGAAGAAATTGACGCTCCAAAGGATGATCATGGAAGTGAAGAGATCGAGCTTTTTCCTCGTTTTGCTCATGAAAAAAAGGGTCGCAGACCGTGACCGAAACTGGTGAAGCCGTTTTGCCTTTGATTAAAAACAAATTTTCAACAAAGAAAAAGCCTGATCTCTTTGCTTTGGAAAAAAAATTAGCAAAAGTTTGTTTTCTTTCACAATGATTTTTGACCTAGGTTTAATTTTTTTCCGGTTATTAAGAAAAATAACAAATTAAATTTTTAGTGACACTAGTTTTTTGAAAATTACAGCCGACAGACTCTCCTTTGAGTACCACTTGTCAAAAAGTTTATGGTAAAAAAATATTATATATTATAATAAAAACTTAAGTTAAAGTACCAAAAATACTAAAACAACTTTTAGATACCCTAAACATGGCTCCTTTAGAGACTGGCGTGTACTTGTTCACCAAGAAGGTAAACAGCAAATAGATAATTATTCGTAATTATTTGATTTTTCACTCCGCAAAATTTGTCAAAAGTTCTACCCTTGGGACGCTGCTGATCAGCTCTGCAAAAAACTTGGTCTGGAATTGGCATCGACTGACACAAAGAAAGAAGCAGACATTGTTTATTTTGAAGCAAACCGCAGAAGTTGGCCGATTCATTGATTAATTTATTTCATTTTCCTAATTTTTTGTATCCCTTTGCATCCATGCAAATTTAGATGACGAAACTGTTCGATTCTGGACGAGCGGAACTGACAAAGGTCGCAAACCTGGCGACTTCATTTGGGCTAATGGAAGTCCTGTGGACGAATCCCAATGGCTCCGGGGTGAACCAGTACATGTAGGCGAAGAAGAAGCTTCATGCGTCACGGTGCGAAGAAATGGTCTGGGTGACTGTCGGTGTGCTGATGCAAGGAAGTCTATTTGCGAATTGGTATATAAAACGAAAAAATAAACCTCATTATTTTTAATATTTTTTGCCATAATTTATAATTTCAGCCTCAAACTTCAGGCCCTAAAACTTGTGAAAACGTGCTTGGTAAAACTTAATATTTTATATTATCATAAAAAATAAAAATGAAATCTATTTTTTTTTTTTTTTTTTTGCTTTTTAGACAAAATGAATATTGCGGTTCTGGAGACAGGTGTTTACAAATTCAACTCGGAAGTAAAAAAAAATTAAATTTCAAATACATTAAAATAATATTATTTTTTATTTGCTTAAAATCTTCTCATATAGTCTACAACTTGGAATGAGGCTCGTCGGTACTGCAATGATCTTGGTATGCGGTTGGTCACCATCGATAATCAGCAGGAAGCTGATTTGGTTTTCCAAGAGGCAGCCCGCAGGCGTCAGTTTTTTTTTAATAAAAATTTTTAATTGATAAATGATTTTGATGTCTAGTTAACAATGAGACTTACGTATGGACGAGCGGCATTAACAAGGATCGCAAAAATGGCGAGTACATTTGGTTAACTGCTCTTGAATTCGATGACTTGGAGGAAAATCCAAAGACAGTTGATTCGTCCCTTTGGCTGCCGGGCGAGCCAAAAAACGCCAAGAAAAAGTCAGTTTCGGGCGTCGTCCTGAAGAGGGGAGGACTTGGAGACCGCATGTGGGGCACTCAAGGAAAATCCGTTTGCGAGCTCATTCAATAATAAAAGTGAACTCAAAATTTAAAAGCAATTATGTTTAATCCGCGTTTTGTAAAAATAAAAATTAAATAAAGGATTTATGTTCTTTATTTAATGACTTTCCTTTTTATTTAAATACCTTGCATGATATTTATATATTTTTGTTGTTAATTTAAAGAAAATAATTATGTAATTAAGCAATTAAAAAAGGTTCATTTGATTAATTATAGTTGCAAGGCTTCTATAATTAGGTATCTCATTATGTGACTATATATTATCCAATTTACTGAAAATAATAGCATTTTTTTTTTTAATTTGGAAGGGCAAATTAATGGTATAAAACGCAGTAATACGTCAGTTGACAAAATCTTTCACTTTTTCCTTTATATAACTATAGATATATGAAGAGCGGGTTATCGTTAAAAAAGGTCAAATTTTTTGCTTGTTATTTACTTATCTTACTTGGCAGTCGTGCGAATTTAGTTGCTACGGGTTTGCAGAACGAACGGCAGCAACATGAAGTCCAAAGGCACAACATTGATCTTCCTTTTCATCGGCATCGCAGGATTCTTTTCTCAAATTGGAAGTGCCAAAAAAGAAACTGGGGCAGTAAGATTGATTTAACATTTTTTATTTATTTATAAATTTATTTCACAGTAAAATTCAAAGTAATTATTATAACACAATTTTGAATTATACTATAACTTCTTTGAGGCAAAAAGAAATAATTAATTTGTTCACTTGGTTGCAGGAATCTTTTAGGCTGGACAAATGTATAATTTTGTATGGTAATTTGCAGAAATTAATTAAATTCATGAAACTCATTTCCTTCCAACACAATTCTAGATCGTCTGAACATTGTTTACGCGGAGACCGGCACTTACTTGTACACTTCTCAAGTATATACAATAAACCTTGCAGGCGTTAATTTAAATATTACTGAAAAAATTTTTAGTACTTGACATGGGCCGATGCTGATAAATATTGCAAGGGTCTCGGCCTCCAGTTGGCCACAACGGACACCAAACTGAAAACAAAGGTTATTTTTGAAGAAACACCTGATAAATGCAAGTTATTTATAAGAGTAAAATTTTATTTTCTCAATTTAAATGTTTTTTTTTAGTTAAAAACGAAACGGCTCGCTTTTGGACCAGCGGATCAGACAAGGGCCGCAAACCTGGCAAATTCTTTTGGTCTAATGGAAACGCCCTAGACCAGTCCCTTTGGCTTGCTGACCAACCGAAAAACGTCAATGACAAGGAGCCGTCGTGCATCACCCTTCGCAAGGGTGGGCTGGGCGACTGCCCTTGCAGTGTGCGCAGGAGGACCGTTTGCGAACTTCTAGATTAATATGGTCAACATCTTTCTGAGTGACGAAAACTAAAAATAAATAATTCGAATATAATAAATTTACTACAGTTTTTTATTAAATATTTTAATACTGGCCTAATTTTTTGCAACCTTTACTATTTTTACCCTTTTCAATTGTTCACATAAAAATTCATCAATTACCTTACTTAACTTTCATCTCTCATATTTTTTCCAGATAGTACCTAAGCAATTTTTTTTGTGGTTTTTCAGGATCAAACATTCAGGCGTGGATCTATGAAACATGAAACAGATGATCTTTGCTCTAATTGTTTTATTAAATTATAAATTTGGACTGCACTTTTGTATTTTTCATTATAACTTCAATCGATTAATATTAAGATTTTTTTGAATGATGTTATTATATAATCAAGCTATTCTGAAGCTATTAAGATATTTTTTACCATAACATTTTATTGAGTTTATCAACTTCCTCAAAATGATTTTCCCGAAATGAATGTATTTTCATTAAAGTGTCGTGCCGTGAAGAGCCCACAGGAATTTAAATAAAATTTTGTATTCAAAAAAAATTATTTTAATATAATCAAAACAAAATTTAATAAAGATATTTTATAAAAATAATTTTGAAATAACCTGAAAAATTATTAATTTTTAAATAATCCGAAAAATGAAACATTAATTAAACAGGTTTAAACAAAATATTTAGTAAATTTGCAGAATTGTAATGTATATTTAATATTTAAAGAATATAATTTAAAATAGAGAGTTTAAACGTCTTACATGCGTCACAACTAAACAAATTGAAAAGAACTCTCTGAAAAGAACAGCACAGTTTACACTGAATTAAAATTTGCAAAATGTAATATTTTTTTTACTTTTTATGATTTACATATAAGTAGACCTCTTATAAAATTCGAGAGGCTTAAAAGACCCAACGTCCTTAACCTATCGTCGATATCATGTCACTATTTCTGGATATCAAGAGGTTATCATCGTTAGGTCAAAATTTATTATTGCTGCTTGGTGAACATTCGAATTAGTTGCTAAGGGTTTGCAGAACGACCAGCAGCAAAATGAAGACCAAAGGCGCAACATTGATCATACTTTGTATTTGTATAGCGGGTTTCCTTCCTGGAAATGGAAAAGCCGATAGTGCAATTGGCGCGGTAAGCATTTCTGAATATTTTTATATAAAATGATTTCGTAATTATTTAGTAATGAAATATAAACAATTGAGAGGAGCATTTATTTAAATCAATACTTCTGATAATTAATTGTAAAAAATTAATTATCAATACAAATGATTTTGTTTGAAGACGTTGTCACTCGAGGAGATGATCATGGAAATGATATTGACTTGTGTTTGTTACAATAAAACGATCTTTGAATGTATCTTTGAATGTATTACAGGTAGTGGAATTGATGATTAGCAACTGCGTTAAAGTTTATGGTAATTTTTAGAACGCTCTATGATATTGCAAAAAATAATTATTTCAATCAAAAAATAATTTCAGATCGACTAAACATCGGTGTTACGGAAACTGGCACCTACTTGTTTACGACTCAAGTAAAATTAAATCTTGAAAGTACTTTTTCTTTGAAAAGAGAAATTGATTTCTAGTATTTGACATGGGATGAAGCTCGTCAGTATTGCAAGGGGCTCGGACTCGAATTGGCCACAACGGACACCAAGTTGAAGACGGATGTTATTTTTGAAGAAGCACTTGATAAATGCAAGTTATTTGTAAAAGAAAAATTTTTATTTTCTCAATTTAAATGATTTTAGTTAAAAATGAAACTGCCCGCTTTTGGACCAGCGGATCAGACAAGGGTCGCAAACCTGGAAAATTCTTTTGGTCAAACGGAAATGCTCTGAATGAGTCCCTTTGGCTCTCTGGCCAACCGAAAAACGTCAATGACAAGGAGCCGTCGTGCATCACCCTTCGCAAGGGTGGACTGGGCGACTGCCCTTGCAGTGTGCGCAGGAGGACCGTTTGCGAATATATTGAATAAATTTTCCGGCAGTTCCGACACGTTGCATAATATGGAGCTTTAATTTTACTCCGTTTTTTCTTTTCCTTTATAAATAAGTACCACAAACAATCTTTTCGTTTATATGATTGGACAATAATAACTTAAAATCTTGTTAAAAAAAAACAGCAAACTTTTTTATTATGATTTCTTCAAATTTTCAATTATAACTATTTTAAAGTAAAATTTTGAGCAAAAAATTATGCATCTGTCAAACAAATTTTAAAGCATAATCATCCTTGTTTGTAACTGTCATAAATTTTGTAAGGTTCAGAACTAAAAATTAGACTTCTTATTGATTAAACGCATTCTAGTCATTTTTTTTCAACCCTCCGTGGTAATACACGATTCAAAATTTTGACAAATTGACTCGCTGAATAAAATTAGCATTTCTTGCTCGCAACAGTTGCTGAGGGAGCAGACGAAGGGAGCAATAATAAAAGTGCAGTGTGTGTATTTATTTAGTTTTCGCCGTGCAAAGGCACCACGTTCCTGTATCGTAAATAAGTTAATCCTTTTCCGTTACACTGCACAAGCTGCCATGAATTTGCATGGCCGTGCATAATTCCCGAATTATTTTATTAAACACACAAGGAGAGAGAAAGAGAGACGTATGAGAAAACGGGAGCAGAGAGTGCAACGGGGCGGCAGCTGCGTGGCCGAAAACAGCTGCACTTTGCAAAACGAGAGAGGGCAGGTGGAGGAGCAAAGAGGTGAGCGAAAAAGAAGCAATAACTCGGCGCTAATGCATATTACATGCTCATTGTACGAAACTTATCTTTATGGCGCGGTGGTGGCGATGCGTATTATTTTTATGTTATGCTCCACACGCAAAATTACCGCAAATTTTTTACCAAATTTTTGAAATGTAAAATCTTTAGGTTTGCTTTTTATTTCACTATTAATTTTAATGATTTTTTGTTAAAATTAAAAAAAAGAGACTGCCATAGATAAAAATAAAATAAACTAATTTGAAAGTATTAAGAAAAATTATAATTTTTTCAAGATCTAATTTTTTGTATGATTTTCAGAATTTCTGTATGATATTTGATGTTGTGGTTATTTCTAGAGTTTTTATTGTTATTATATGTTAAATCTTATGTCATAACAAATCTGAATACCCTGGCCGAACCAATTTTAAAGCAAACTCGCTAAAATTGACTAGTTTTTCTTTCAATGTTTGAAGTGTAATAATTATCGACTTATGTTTAAAACCAACCATTACGAAAAATAATAGATATAAATAATATAGGGTCAAACGCACTCATTTACATAAGAAAATCGAAATTTTTCATAAACATCTAAGACTTTTGTCATATTTTGTCCATAATGAACACCTATAGACAAATAAGAATTTAATTATTTTATACAAAATGGCAGATATTATAATTTTCTCTGCATAATTTAAAAGCAAAATTTCAGTTTATTTTGTCTCGCTACAAATTGTAAGAGTTTTTATTTGTCCTCGGAACTCGTCGTGTTGAGATAATAACATTTTATATACCTGAGCCAGACGACCAAGAGACGGATGATAGTTTTGCATCCTGTTTTCCTGGTTGCAATAATAGCGGGGTCGACTGTCTAATAGCTGCGGCCGATGGTACATAAAATGAAAAAAAGAGCCGTTGTTGTTGCTGTAATAATTGCTCTTCGGCTGCTATCTCTGTCGGCCGTTCCAATATCGCAATGCGCAATCAAACAAGGGTGCTGACGGGGAAGTTCGCCAAACTGGCAGAAATAATGTGTCTGGCTCTCTTTGTCTGCCCGTTATATGGCCCGCCGCCGCAAAAATAAACAGATGCACTCGCTGCTCTTTTGCGCGGCGCGGGGTTAATTACGGAAGCCGCCGTGGGGTTGTAGATTTTAGTTTAATGGAGGCGGCGGCTGCTGTTGCTTGAGCCGTAAAAAATTAAGTGGTGCTCAACTTTGAAAAATTGTCACTTTTTAATATGGCGTGTGAAACGTTGACTCATAACTTAATGGTGTGAGAAGAGTGTTCATAAAATGTTTACAAAATTCTATGCAACGTTTTGAAATAATGCAACTTTATCTTCTGACGCTCAAATATGAAATGGAAAGCTTGTATTTAAACAAAGATTATAATTCCAAATATTTAATTGTTGTTGTTTTTGTATAAAAAAAATGAATAGTTTAAATGCGTGAATCTTTAAAATTTAATATTTAAAAAAAAAAAATAATAATACGGCATTGTACAACAGATTATTTTAATTTTTTTTAGGGGAATAATTTATAATCCATTGCAGAAAAATAGGCGGCTTATGATAATGAGCTGCAGCATAAATCTTGCCGATTGGACTTCTTATTAATTACTTTTAACTTGAATTATTACCTAATAAAATATAATTATTTAGCAAAATAAATATTGAAAATGTTTGTTGTGTCATTTTTAAGATTTAGTCTATTTTTTCATCAATTTACTTTTTTGCCATTGTTTGTAAAAAATTAGATGCTTTATTTTTTAGTCAGTGATTTGAATTGTTTGTACAACTTTTGTCAAAAATAAATCAAATTATGCAAAAAATGTTTATAGTTCCAAAATAAATTTTGCGTTGAAATGAATTTGCAAACTGAATTTTCCAGTGTTTGCCCAAATCCCTTACGCCGTCCGTTCATTATCATATTCACGCCATTCAATCCAGCACATTTCGTTCCATCAAAATTCATTTCGCATATCGCGCTCTATGCATAAGCCTGATTTGATTGCCTATGTGGAATTCGGAGCCATTAGCGGTCAAACGTTCCATGTCCGCCACTCGCTGGGCAATTTAATTTGCAACTTTTCCATCGCGTATGCCGCGTGCAGAATGACTTGTTTGCTTTTCGCGCCGCGATCACCGGCATCTATAATTTGAATTAATGAATCATTAGTTTTGCTGTGTGTGATACAAAGGCCATCAGATATTGGAATTCAAAACAATGTGGTAACGTCCGTAAATCATTTACTCCTGCTACCATTGCTTTTGCACAGTTATTTTGCAGCCACATTGTAAAGCACACTGTCAGGTACGTTAATTAGCATATTCTCTTAATTTATATCGCATTATATTTCATTTTCATTTATACACATTAAAATAATATTGCAGTCAATATTTTGGTTTTTATTGTTACTCTAAACATTTTTGAACTTATGTTACTTCGACATCTGGCCCTGATAAATGCTGATAAATCTATATTTATGAGCAACATTCTAAATCAATAAACTTTTATAAGTATATTCCATATTTTATAATTTTAAAATTAAAACAAATTCAATAATGCTTTTAATAAAGATAAAATAATTTAAAGTAATAACTTTGTTGCAAGTTTAAAAATTTATAGTTCCACTATTATTATAACTATAGATACTAGAAGTCAAATAGATACTGTAAATTTATTTGAAAAATAAATTTTTTTTATTCAAACAAGGAATGTCATGCTATTTTTTACATGCAATGTTTCCGTTCTAAAGAATAAATAAAAAAATGACGTTATTTATCTTCATTTTGCTTGGCTCTATTTCCACCTTTTTTAGTAGTGCTTGAATTAATTTTAAAAATATGTATATTTACAATTTTGCTACAAAAAATACCTTTGAAATACCAACAAATCATAAATTCTACATATGTGTTTGACTATGAAAACTAACCAGTAAAACTAAACTAAATCAGTCGGCAGACCGCACGTGTCTGTCCTTTCCTCGCTCATTCAGTTGGTGAAAATCCAAACAACAAACACGCACTAAAGGTGACCTCTGATGAAATACCCAGCCAGATTCTCTATCGCCAAATTACACGACTGCTAAAATAATTGGCCTAAAAAGTTTTGTGCCGAGTACACTCTGTATGACGATAAAAATATAAAGAACCAACTGATCTGCCCACGATTTTTGTATGAAAATTGATACGGAATGAAAAAAAAAATGATACAACTAAAAAAATAGCGTCTGCGAACACAGCGATTAAATTTGCGAGTTGAACGCTCTCGAGTTTCGCGTGCTCGAAAGCCGTAATTCTGAAAATCAGCTATAAAATTTATGTCTCAAATGGGAAAAGTGAATAAAGTCGGTGATTATATAATTTGTGTGCCTAATCAGACTTTCAGCCATGGGAAAATTTTCATTTTAATAAATAATACGAAATATAATAATATAGGTTTTTTAATCTCGCTTAATGACGAGTTTTGGAGATTGATTGCCAAGTCCGTCAAAAGCGTTCCCACAATAAATCCACGCCTCGGAAAAAGAAGGCGCGCGAGTGTTATTGCGAAAAAAAGGTTCAGTGGCGGAGATCATGAAACGGTATTCCAAAGAGCATTTCCAGGAATGACTGCCAGGCACAAATTAGAGCAACAATTAATTTTGCAATAATAAATTGGTCCTAATGAGAGCCGCCGAAGAATAACCTTCGAGCGGAATAATTGAGGCCTGCCGGTTAATTTGTTTAATTTGAGTGAGTATGTTTGTGTGTTTGATGCTTTCAGGCGTTTTGAATGAACTCGCGCGCGGAGGATGGCTCGTTGTAAATATTATTAGCACAAAATAAAACACCGGCGAGAGGAAAAAAGATACGATTCCCGAGGCGGTCCGTCGGTGTTGGTAACACAGAGGCTGATGATGATGATTATTATTTTCCAGCAGCATATCAGCACCAGACTCGCTCGCACAGTTATGGCATTCATTCGCCAGTCCATTTCCGTTCGCCGCAACACATACACGATGCCAGACAGACTTGCGGGTAATGGAGAAAATCAGCAGCAGCAAACGGCCCTTTGAAGCATTTCAGCTGCACTTCTCTTTCCTGGATTAATTTATTTATATGCGCGTCGGTTGAAGCCGCCGCTCGTTGTGGATTAAAGCGCGGCCACTTTTGCTGGGGCTCTGCAAGGTGCATGTCGGCGTTTCAGCTTCGATCTGGACGGACGCTTAATTGAATTATTTTGCCGCTAAAGCACATTCAAAAAACGGCTATAGATTGAAATGGTTATTTTCATCAGATGGAAAAAGAATCAGATGATTTATTATTGGACGTTTAATTATCTCTAAAATGCAAAAAAAAGGCAAAATTATTATTCTGACAAGATCAAAAAGAACCCATCCACCACAGTGAGACTTTCAATGAAATAATTAATTTAAACCCCCTTTCAAGATGAGGAAAATAATATTATAATAATTTTTTTTTGTTACAGATTATTAAAATTAGGTAAATAAATCATATTATTTATCTTCACATCTTATTTGAATTTGGTTACACCGCAATGTTGGTTGGTGATTAAAGTATAATAATGAACTAATCAAAAAAGCCCAATTATTTAAAATTTTCAATTAATTTGCATTTTGTAGGATTGAAAAATGAGATTTTCTTGATGGGTGTTTTGGGTTGTTTATCCTTTTTTTAAAGAAAACAATATATCCTAATCTACAATATACTGACTTTTTAAAAGAATTTTTGTTGCAATTAATAATTTTGCAAGCATAAGAATTTTTAATTTTTTTTTGAAAATTTTATAATAATTTGATTTCCATTATCCTCAGTGTGCGCTATAATAATTTGAACAATTTCTCTTCTCTAAAACGAGCGTCGAAGCCGCGCACTTGATTGATGGGTGTGAAAAGCACAATAAACGCGGCGACGACGAAATTAATTAAGGAGAAAATCTGTTTTCCCATGCGGTGTGTTGTGTAGAGTCTGGGCGAGTGACTGATGCGAGCTGAGGAAAGGTTCAAAGTCCGCGGTGTTCTCCACGCTCGGGAAGAGCAGAAGGAGCCACGACGACCTCGTGACCCTGCCGGCGATGCATCAGCCGCGCCGAGAATGAATGAATGAATGGAAGGCGGCACTGGCGGAGGTCTGCTTGTTTATTTGTCCGAATGCCACGAGACGCCCTACCGGAAGATAATAAAAAAAAATGCATTCATCTAACCATCGTAGTACATTTTTTTCATTTTAATTAAGAGCGACTTTTGACGGTAAAAGACGGGGTTTTATAAAAAGAAATGTTTTTTTTTTAACTGCTTCAATGGAAAATTTTTGAATGAAAAATTTTTGAAAAACTCATTTCTGGCTCAATTTTCATTTTATTTGTTTCGGCTTGTTTTTCTTGAGTTGCTTTAAAAAAAAAAAATATTATTGAAATACAGCTAAATTAAATTTTCTTCATAACATAACTGCTAAGAAAAAAAATTAACAAATTAAAGAGATTTATGTAGTATTCACAATTTATTAGTTTAGTTTTACTTTTGTATACACTTAAACGTTTATTCAATTATATAGACAAACCAAGAGATGAAACACACATTTGTCTTAGCAATAAATGTAATTCAATTATTTTGTGCGTGATATTTTCTCAAACGAATTGAACTTTATTTTTATTCTGGTTGTATTGTTGGTTGATATTTTGAAATCTTGTAAAAATATCTTTTGAACTTCTTTTTTGACACTCGCATTTGCTTTTACCAACAAACAGATTATAGACTTAATTGTTAAACAAGATAGTGGTGCGTCATTTTAATTGTAATCAGATTTTTGTGTACTTGGGATTGCGAATGAACTCATTGCCAGGCACGTACAACTTGCAGTTTGTTTTTCTTTAGAAAAAATAATAATCTATCCAAGACAATCAATTAGATATTGCGTCAGACACAAGTTCAAGCTGATAAATTTCTGACTATAAATTCTCTACGCTCAGCCTCATAATCCAGTAGCAATTCCAGCTCAAGAACAAGAAGAAGAAAAAAAAAAGCAAAATGCGTTCAGAGTTGATCTTTTTGTCCGCCATCCTCTTCACAGTTTCACAGGCAGCAGTTTTGGATCTATCTACAGGAATGATCTATCGTCTCCGAGTAAGTAAAAATTAGACATATTATTTTTACTTAATTAATTATTCAGTTTTATGTTCAATTGTAAGAATAAAATATTTATTAAGAAAAAAAATTGGGAAAATTCTCCTTATCAAAATTCATTTTTAAAAATAAAGACATATTTTTTAAATAATTTTTTTATACAAAACAGCAATTTAAATCAATTTTTGTGTGGTCTCTTAATTATTATTTTTAGAGATCAACATCAGAACCTGCAGAAGAAGCACAGACCATCAACAAAGAAGAGCAGCTTGAATCTCTTGAACCTCCAAAAGCAAATCTCCGTGGAGGGTGCGGATGCGCTGACAAAAATAATTGTGGGGATACCGTCGCAGTGCCTGCCGTGGCATCCATCATCATCTATGGGCCTAAAATGGATGAGTACTGGGCTTGCCTTAGTAATTGCATTAACCAACCCCCATGCATTCCATGCGACAAATGTTGACCAGAACAATCACATGCCTTGAGTGAAAAAAAAGAAAAAAAATTGCAAATTTGACAACTCTTTCATATTTTAGAGCATACATATATTTTTTCCATGAGCCTCTTTTGTGGTAAAGTCGTCAAGAAATTCCAGATGTTTCATTTGAAAAAAGTCAATATAAAAATCTGTATTAATTTCAATTTGTATGCAGTGACTGAGAATTGTGTGAGTGTCGATGTTGAGCCATTTTTATTGGCTTTATGAATTCGGTATTATCACAGAACTTATATTGTTTGTACTGTTTAAAACAAATAAAACTCATTACTTGAATAATTGCTATTGAATTTAATCAATTTAAACTATTCCAAAAAACTGGTACTGCAAAAGAATTGCAAATAAATAAATAACAACTAGTTATGGATATTGTATATTGTTGTTCATTTGTCCGAATCGTTACAAAGATTAATCATTGGAAGGGCAAACAATTGTTGGGGGGAAACATTTAATTGTTTGACAAAAAGGCCCAAGCATTACTTTTACAGATTTATAAAAAAAAATTGTGATTATGGTTTTATACAATTAATGTAATGTTATGCAGTTCAAATTATTTGATGGCACTGAACAAAAGCATTAAATCTTAAGATCGAATTAAAAAATTAAATTAATTGATTAAATTTTTGGTGCTAATTCAAGCATAAAACCCCAAATAAATTTCAATTTGAATAAAACTTGCGCAGAGATTATGGTTGTTGAATCAGCGGTGTATGCACAATGCTTAATTAACGACGATTGTGTTGCACCTGCAAAGGCGGAAGGAATGCCCAGAAGACAAAACAAATCTCATGGAGCCGATGCTGCAGAGCTTTTGTTGAAATAACTCTTCGCGACAAGAGAAACGCTCTTTGGCTCCTTTTCCACGGCTTTTTGCTTCGCTTTGTCAAGTTCAAATAACTCTCTCTCGCATTTTCCTGGCGCGCCCGAGTTTTTTCCTCTTTGTTCTTTGGTCGCATACCGACGACGGCTGCTTTTCCTTTTGCTGGCTGCCGCCGCCACCGCTGCGAAAACGTCTCTCTCTTTTTTTGCGTCCCCGTCTTTCCAATTCGAGAAAGTCTTTTGGGCCAAATCTGCTTTCGCACAGCCGGTGATGGAGACCCCGAGAGTGAGAGCTGCCGACAAATTTGAATTTTTCAGCTTTCTTTGCACTTTCTTTGTCTTGAACAAAAGGGGAAATTAGGCGTTTTTCTCTTTGATGCGTCTCCTAGCGAGTCTTGAGATTCAGCGCAAATCTCGTACTTTGTCTTGTTTTACAGAAATTCTGTACTAAAGAAGGAACTTTAAAGCAAATTCCCAACCCATAATAAATGTTGAGCTATTTTCAAAGCTTTTCAAAGTATATTAAAGGCCGTAACTTTTAACTTTTACGGCTAATCATTAATGCCTGTTTTGAATTGAATTTAAAAATTACCATTCTTCATTTTATGATGTGCAATAATATGTTAATTGTACAATAGTGAAACAAATACAAATATTGGCGATTGGAATAAATAATTGATTAAATATGCAATGATTATCTATTTGATTGAAATAAAAAAAAATGTTATGTAGTTTAATTATTATTGTATGCGCTTCTGAAAATCAATTTAAAAATTAAAGAAGCTTTCTATTTATTACAATGTGATAAATTATTTTGGATAATACACAAAATAAAGTTGAAAAAAAAACTAAAAAAAAAAACTAGGCTTACTGCGGTGGATCTTGTAAGTTGTATGAAAATCTGTATTGTGGTGTTGTACCTTTAGTCCAACACTCGATTTTTCGATTAAATCGATTAAATGCTCGAATTCATTTGTTTCCTCTGTGTTCAGTTTTTTTTCCAGACTAAAAAACTGCCTTTATTTCTTAGAATCAGATAATTTTATTTAGCCACTTTTTGGAAAAAAAATAAATAAAAAGCATGCAATACGATGCAAAATTAATCGCGTTAATTGAGCGAGGTTGGTGTGTGAATAAATGCAAAATATTTGCCGTGCACTCGATTGGCTCACTTCATTAGTGCCGCGTGTAAACGTGCAGCAGCAATCTTTTTGAGTGATTCTCATTTGGAGCCAACACACACATACACACAAGGCAGATAATGCGCCCCGACCTCCGCTTTGCACTTCGCACTTTTGGTGAGTGCTTTTGAATTTGCCTTTTCGCTGCGTGTCAAAGGTGGCAATTTCGGCAAACACGTCGGCGCAAAGGGAGTGCCGGAGGATAAAAAAGTTGCCAAAAGTCGCTGCTCTTCAATGAGGTGCTTGATGTTTCTCAAACAAGAGAGAGAGAAAGAGCCCGTCTCGCACTTTGCGCCACCAGCAGTGTAGGGCTGCTTTTATCTCCGGCGGCACTTTTTGCCCGGACTCGAATTAAATCACATTTGCCCTGCAATGGCTGAAACGATGGCGCAAAGCAGTAGCAGAAAACGGATTTAAATGTTAAAAAATATTAAAAAAAAAATTTGCTCTCCGGGGGGAAAAAGTCTGTTGTGATCCACTGAAGAGCTTAAATTGGATGAACACACTCGCAAAGGAAAAAAATGGGACAAGTCGTTTTCCGCTTTTATCGCAGTTTTTGCCGTTCAAATTTAGCCGTCTGCCGCGGCGTTATTGACGGCGTGCAAAAGCGGCACCACTTTAATCTCTCTTTCTTTTATTTTTTCTTTCTCTTGTTCTCTGATGGAACTTGAAAGAAGTTTGCAGACAATATTGAGAAAAACCACATTACTGCAGCGTTATTTGATGGAATATCAGCCGAGAGCGGCGTCGGCGTCGTCGTCTCGAGAGTCTTTTGCTGCAAAGTGTCAAGTTAAAAATCTGCGCCGCGGTGCCTCGTCGAGTGTGTGTATTATGTGCTCGGTGCTGGAACTGCTGGATTTGCGGCGATTACTCTCTCGAGTTCACTTCGGAAAAGAGAGCGCGCCGGAAAAAAAGAGCGTTACAGCAAACAAAGCGCGCACCACTTCTTCTGCGCCAAGAATCAAAGTTTACGGCGGCAAGATAAATGAGATGCAAGATAATTGCTTTGTTATATAAATTTACGGCGATTCAGCTCCTCTTCCGATTATTTATTGCCCTAATAAACTTTTCCTCCTCCATACTCGGCGACTGCTTTTTTCTCCACACAAGTGATTGAAGTGCAATTTTCTGCAGGGATTAACGGAAATCTTTAACGTCAAACTTTTTAATTCAGTTCAAACCAGGATTTATCACTGTCTGATGAGGTTATTAAAGAGTTTAAATGCGATTCTATTGAGACTCGTGATAGGTTAATAAATCCATGCTATTAAATTTTGCTTTAAAATTTTATAATTTTTTGGAAGCGCAACATATACTGATAGAATAATTCTGATATACAGTATGATGTGAAATTCATTGATTACTAATTTATATTTTTGTCAATGATTCTGCTGGACAAAATTGTTTGATATTACTTATGAATCACTATTTTTGTATAATATTTCAACAAATGAATAAGTGTTTATATATGGATGCCGCTGGACAATAAACAATCTTATGTTCTATAAATGTTTTAATTGTTAAACATTCTTTTGTAAAACACCGATTACTGAATTTCACGATAATATAATATCTTTATTCATTTATTTTCTATTCTCAATTTAATCAAATTTTTAAACGAAAAATTTTATGCTTCAAAAAGAAAGATTGATTTGAAAATCTCTATTTATGGATAATCATGCACGTCTCTCTGATGTCACCTTATATAAAAGCATTAGTAAAAATAATTAATTATTTTAATCTTATTCAACAAAAGAAGATATATTGTAAACATAAAATTTTAAATTTTAAAATTAGTTTAAAACTCTTATGTAATTAAAAATAAAAATTTAGTTTTTTACAGCAAAAAATTTGAAATTAAATGCAAATAAAAGTAATTTTAATTAAACATAAGATAATGACTTAATATTTTTAACTTTAAATTAAAGCAAATTTTTATGATTAAAAGTGTCTGAGCCAATTTAATTCTAAATATATAATAGCATTTTGCTGTCGCGAATTTTCCCTCTCGGTCGATGTTTATTTCGCGTTTATACCAAGATTCGCCATTATTCTTAAGCTATCGCTGTACGCACAGAGCAATTTTATATCATAACGGTCCCGGGCGTGTGCTTTGTTTTAGAGAAATAAATAACATAGACGAAAGAAAATGACAAACACCTCTCAGTATAAATTGCCTTACTTAATGTATCGCCTGGCGCAGAACGTCTCAATATTTCAAAAAGTCGAAACAATACAGCAGTGTCTGCATATAGGTCTTCTCTCGTCGTTGGCGAAATGCGAGCGAGGCAATTGTCTCGCGGCGCGCCGTTTATTTAGCGCCAAAAGGGCGAGTATTTACATGAAAAACACATATTTGCCGTGCAGTGTCTCGTCACGTAGCGCATTAGTCGGGCGGGCGGCGATTCCTTCGCCTTTATTCCGCACATAAATAATGAAAAAAAAGGAGAAAAAAGCCTAGGGCTGGCGAATATTTAATGACAAACCGACTAGACAATGAGTTAATACTTTTTTGCTTTCGATTCAGAGCGGAGGAGAGCACTCTAGGCACTACATACACCGCTCCGGTTGCCCATGGTTACCAGACGTCTGGCGGCCCACAAACCAAAAGAAGCAGAAATTTATATAGAGAGACTTCGCTGCCCTTGCTTCTCCAGCCCCATCGAGCCGCAATCGGCGCAAAACGCGAAAAAAAGCGAAAAAATTATAATGCTTCGGGGGGCCCCAGGGGCTGATTTAGGGCATCGATCGGGACCCCGGTGCTGCACCTGGCAACAAGAGGAGCACCGAGCGAGCACCATGTGCAGCAGCTTGGGTGGGGACTGGCTGGCTGGCTGCACAACAGACAGGCGCGACGGCTGTTGGCCGCCGCCGCCGCCGCCGCCGCGCACTCAGACGTCAAGTACTGCACCGAGCATTACGCGAAAAATAAAAAATTGCACTGCTCGCTCGGTCGGTCGGTGTGCACGGCGACGCGAGTGCAGTGAGGGAGGGGGATGAATGTGCCAGGTCATAGTAAAATTGTTTGAGAATGGTCCGGGTGCAGTAGCCGGTGGAGCGGCCGTCGGAGCACATCCAGCACCACGACACCGACCGGCTCCTCTCCACGCATACACTCACACACCAGTCATTGACTTCTGGCCACACTACTTGACACCCTTTGCTTTTGTGAAACCAGGTAGGATATTCTACTTAAAATACGTGTAGTAGTTTATTATTTTTATTAATATTTTAATTATTACTATTTTATTTTAGGTAATTAAACACTAAATAATAAAA